TTGTATAAGGTACCTAGAATAGTCACTATTTGAGTAGAACCATACGGTGTGTGTCCTTTCGGGATGACTTATTTCATTTAATGTCATGTCCTCAAGGTTCATCCATGTAGCATGTGTAAGAGCTTCATTCTTTTTTATGGCTGACTATTCCTTTCTATGTTTGTCACATTTGATCTGTCCATCTATTAATGGACATTTTGGCTGTTGTGAATAATGCTGCATTGAACACTGGCATACAAGTATCTGAGTCTTTCTAATGCTTTTGATTATATAGCTATAAGTAGAACTGATGGGTCATATGGTAGTTCTACATTTAGCTTTTTCAGGAATCACCAAACTGTTTCCATAGGGGCGACACCAGTTTGTTTCCACCAGCAATGTATAAAAGTTTTTCCGCGTCCTTGCCAGCACTTGTTACTTTCCATTATTATTATTACTTTTTTTTAACTTTTTATTATCTTGATTATAGCTGTACTATTAGGTATGAAGTGGTATCTCATTGTGGCCTTGATTGCATTTCAATAATGATTAATGACATTGAGCATCTTTTATGTATTGGCCATTTGTATATATTTTTTTGGAGAAATATCTAAGTCTTTTGCCCATTTTTCAGTTGGGTTGTCTTTTTTTCTTGTTTTAATTGCTGTTAATGTATAGTGTTATATTATTCTCAGCTGTATAATAGTGATTCAACAATTTCATACATCACCCAGTGCTCGTCTCCTATTTCACCCATTCCCCATCCTACCTTCCCTCATAACTATCAGTTTGTTCTCTATAGTTAATAGTATATTTCTTGATCTGTCTCTTTTTCCCCTTTGCTTATTTGTTTTGTTTCTTAAATTATAGGTGAAATATAAATGAAATCATATGGTACTTGTCTTTCTCTGACTTACTTTGTTTAGCATTATACTCTCTAGCTGCATCCATGTCATTGCAAATGACAAGAATTCATTCTTTTTGATGGCTGAGTAATATTCCAATGTAGGTGTATAACCACCTATTCTTTATCCATTCATCAGCCAGTGGACACTTACTCTGCTTCTATATCTTGGTTATTGTAAATAATGCTGCTATAAACATAGGGATATATGTATCCCTTTGAATTAGTGTTTTCATATTCTTTGGGTAAATACCCAGTAGTGTGATTGCTGGATCTTAGGGAACTTTTGAGGAACCTCCATACTTTCTTCCACACAGGTGCACCAATTTGCATTCCCACCAGCAGTGCAAGAGGGTTCCTTCTTCTCCATATCCTCTCCAACACCTGTTGTTTTGTGTGTGTGTGTTTTAAATTTTTAATTTTATTTATTTTTGAGAAAAGAGAGTGAGCACCAGCAAGGAAAGGGCAGAGAGAGAGACACAGAATCCAAAGCAGGCTCCAGGCTCTGAGCTATCAATACAGAGCCGGACATGGAGCTCAAACTCACAAACCTAGAGATCATGACCTAAGCCAAAGTCGGCCGCTTAGCCTACTGAGCCGCCCAAGCGTCCCTTTTGTGGTTTTGATTTTAGCCCTTCCAACAGGTGTGAGACATGCAGATGGCCAACAGACATGTGAAAAGATGTTCATCTTCACTTAGCACCAGGGAAATGCAAATCAAAACTACAGTCAGTTGGCTTGTCTTTTTGTTGTCAAGTTTTAGTTGTTTCATGTTCTGAATATGAAGCCCGTATCAGATTAGTGATTTGTAAATATTTTCTCCGATTCTGTAGCTTGACTTTTCACATTCTTGATCACTGTCCTTTGCACATAAGTGTTTAATTTTTGTGAGGTCCAATTTATCTGTTTTTTTCTTTTGTCACTTGCACTTTGGTATTCTAAGAACCCATTGCCAAATCTGCAGCCCTGAAGATTTATCTCTAAGTTTTCTTCTAAGTGTTATATGGGTTTAGCCCTTGTATTTACATTAGTGATCTATGTGGGTCCTATGATGTGAAGTTGGGGGGGGGGGGTCCTACATTTTTTCTTTTTCATGAGGCTATCTAGCTGTCTCAGCATGATTTGTTGAAGAGATTAACCCTTTCCCCATTGACTAGACGTTTTTGTGAAAAATCAATTGACCATTTATGGGTTTACTTCTGGTCTCAATTCTATTCCATTGTCCTGTATGTCCTCTATCCTTACGCCAGCATTACATTGATTATTGTAGCTTTGTAGTAAATTTGAAACTGGAACCTGTGCCCTCTGACTTTGTACTTCAGGATTGTTTTGGCTGTACAGGGCCACTTGCACACTTTTGCTTTCTGAGGGATATTTTCACCAATGACAGTGTTCCAGATCACCAGTTACTTTTCCTTCAGTTTTTTGAAGGTATTATTCATTTGTCTTCTGGCTGTTTTAACGGAGACCTCAGCTGTTGATCTGGTTGTTTTCCTTTGTTGGTAACCTGTTTCCTCTCCCCCACCCCAGCTGTTTGAGGATTTTTCTTATTGTCTTTGGTATATGGCCATTTTATCCTAATGTGCTTGGCCATGGTTTTCTTTGCATTTGTAGTTTGGTGTTTCTTGAGCTTCTGTGGCTTGATGGCTTTCTTTATTTTTATGATATTGTCAGTCATTATTTCTTCCAAGATTGCTTCTTCCACAATCTCTCTTCTCTTCTTGGGACTCCAGTTATATATGTAGTAGACCTTTTCATCGTACCCTTTAGGTCTCTTACACTCTAGCCCGTGTTTTGTTATTCCTCATCACTGGGATTCATTCTCTATATTTTTTTTCTGCCATATTTTTAGATAATGTATGATATAGTCAATTTTTTTAATATTTTGAGTTTATTTTGAGACAGCACATGTCGGGGAGGGGCAGAGAGAGAGAGAGGGAGAGAGGGAACCCCAAGTAGACTCTATGCCACAGTGCAGAGCCCGATGTGGGTGGGGCTCAAAGCCACCAAATAGTAAGATCATGACCTGAGCCGAAACCAAGAGTCAGACACTCAACCCACTGAGCCATCCAGGCGCCCCTAGTATAATCCATTTTAAAATTCCATCTGTTGGATTATAATTTGAATTCTATCTTTCAGTTCTGAAGTTTTACTTAGGATTCTAAAAAAGTAGAGTTTTAAAATTTTCTGCAAAATTCTCAAGCGTTTCTTGCAAATTCTTTAAACATAGTTAAAACTTCATCATGCAGATGCTTGATTAATCTGTCAGTTGTTGACCCTTGTTTTCCTTGGTTCTCAGTCACATAGTCTTTGTCCTTTTCTATGCTTGAATATTTTTGAGTGCCAGAAATGTTTATGAAAACTTAGAATTCGAGCTTTGCAATAGTGTTATCTTCCTCCAGAAAGAACTGAAAGTTACTCTGGCAGATAGCTAGGGTCAGTAGCAACCCCAGATAGTTTAAACGTATCTGTGAATGAGATTATTTGAAGTTGGCCTTTAATCCCTACAAGAGCTAGTTGATTTAGAGTTGATTCCCCCTTACTCTTAGAATGAAGACATTTTGAGCCCAGTACAAATCCTAGAGTTTGTCAGCAACTCTCACCTTCCCTGGGAGGCTGTGATTTTCAATATTGATTTATTAGCCCCTGAAATCTGTCTGAAGATCTGTTCAGCTTTTTAGCTTCTTCTGTCAGAATTACCAGCTGCCTCAAAGGGAAAAAAGATTGCTCTAAATGCTTATTAGTTCAACTCTTTGTGTTTCCCTCTTCTCCCGCATCAGCCTTGTAATTCTGCACTACCCTAGTAGCTCTCTGGTGCTTCCAAAGAGATATTTTATATGTACACAGATCTTTAAAATTACAGTAAATGTACATGACCAAATTGACCATTTTAACCCATTAGTTTTAATTAAGTAATTTATTTTTTGAGAAAGGGTCTGAGCAGGAGAGGGATGGGCGGGGGGGGGGGGGGAGAGAATCCCAAGCCAACTCTACATTCATTGCAGAGCCTGATGTGGGGCTTGATCCCATGACCCTAGGGTCATGACCTGAGCCATAACCAAGTGTCAGATGCTCAACTGACTCAGCCACCCAGGCGCCCCCCTTTTTAACCATTTTTAAATACAATTCAGTGATATTAAGTACATTCACATCATTGTGCATCCATCATTACCATTTACCTGGAGCTCTTCATTTTTTTTATTAAAAATTTTATTTCTTTTTTACTTAAGAGAATGAGGAGGAGAGAGGGAGAGAGCATGAGTGGGGGGGTTGGACACCAGGGGTGGGGACAGAGTCTGAAGTGGGCTTTGCACGGATAGCAGAGAGCCCTAATGTGGGGCTCAAACTCATGAACCATGAGATCATGACCTGAGCTGAAGTCTGACACTTAAGCAACTGAGCTATCCAGGTGCCCCAAGATGTAAATTGATTTTTAAAAATAGTTTATCTAGGGGTCCCTGAGTGGTTCAGTTGATTAAGTGTCCAACTTCAGCTCAGGTCATGATCTCATGGTTCGTGGGTTCAAACCCTGCATCAGGCTCTGTGCTGACAGCTCAGAGCCTGGACCCTGCTTTGGATTCTGTGTCTCCCTCTTTCTCTCCCCCTCCCCAACTTGCACTCTGTCTTTGTGTCTGTCTCTGCCTCTCTCTCTAAAAAAAAAAAAAAAAAAAAAAAAAAAAAAAAAAAAAAACATTAAAAAAATTAAGTGTGCTTTAAAAAAAAGTTTATCTAGCTTTTCTGTTTTTCACTGGGAGGGCTGATCCACAAGTGAAACTCTATCTTTTGCACCTAGTACAGTGCTGTATCTCTAGTGGAAGGGAGGAGGGAAAGTAACAAAAATGCTCTGGAAACTTCAAGGTGGAATACGGCTAGAAGGCGTGAGTCCTAGATAGCACAGTATGATGGGGAAGACTTGGCTTCTGGAGTTAGAATGACCTGGTTTTGAAAATGTCTGACTTTGGGCAAGTTATTTTACCGGCCCTGAGGTTAGCTTGTCCTTTTCCAAAGATACTTTTCTCCCCCAGTGGTGTCTGTGTAATACGGTTTCTGTTTCAAACTGTATTTGCCTGCAGAAAAAAAGCAAATATTGCTCACTTGGTTTTTCTTATTCTGCCAGGACTCTGGTTGGGAGTGGAATGGGACAATCCCACGAGAGGAAAGCACGATGGAAGCCACGAAGGGACTGTGTATTTTAAATGCAGGTAACTTTTCATGATGAATTTGCATGGTTTATTTGGGATAATATTTAAGAGTTGAATAAAGGGAGGTGGAGAAGAAGCAATGTTTGCCTTTGGGGGTAGTTACAATGTAGAATTTGATGTATTCTGAAAAGACAGTTCCATTTGTAGAGCTTTTTTCCCTTAGTGTTTTTTAATATTTGAGAGAGATGGAGAGTGCAGGGGAGGGGGAGGGAGCAGGGAAGCAGTGGAGAGTGAGAGAATCCCAAGAATCTGCACTATCAGTGCAGAGCCTGATGCAGGGCTGTATCCCACAACCATGAGATGATCTGAGCCAAAACCAAGAATCAGATGCTTAACTGACTGAGCTACCCAGGTGCCCCAACAGGTTTTTTTTTTTATTATTGGATAAACATTTCTTATCAATTCATTAACAGTTTTCAGTCCACTAAGTGAGTAATAAAAAAAGGGAAGTAGTCTAGATATCTAGTAAAAAGCAGTTGATTAAACAAAATACAGAGCATCCAAAGGGTAGAATGCCAGGCCACCATTAAAAGACTATCATGAAAAGAGTTACACCTTGTATTGCGTATCCGTTAATAACTTTTAACTGCTTGATTTCAGAAAAGCTGCATAAAGCTTTGAAAAAGATGGTAGGGTGCTTTCAGACAGAATCTTTTAAATTTTTGTTTGTTTTCCTTAGTAGGTTTCATTTTCTCAAAGAGATCTCTTAACAGTAAGCTTAATTTTCCTTAAATGTGGTAGAGTGAACACAGTCCTGGCCTGGAAATCAAGAGGCCTCTAACTCCGCTCTTAACAATCTTTATGACCCCAAACAGGACTAAATTTACTAACCTCTAAAATGAGGATCACAATTAGATAATAGCAAAATACATTTCCCCAGCCTACCAGTCTATAATTCTAGAAAATCAGGATGGAAGAATGAACATGTTCCTGGAGGCCAGTGTGATTGCCGGCATGGAATGAGGCCAGCTCAGAATCTGTCAAGAGTTCACGGAGGGTGGGGGCAGGGTGGGGTGCCTGGGTGGCTCAGTTGGTTAAGTGTCCCACCCAGGGTTTCCGCTCAGGTCCATTTTCTATGGCTTGGGATTCTTTCTCTTGTTCTCTTGGTCCCTGCCCTGCTTGTGTTCTCTCTTTCTCTTTCTCAAAATAAATAAATAAACTTAAAAAAAAAAAACAAGTTCATGGAGGATATGTTTAAGGAGTTGTGGAAACAGAAATTTCTTATCCTGATCCCTCACCCACCTGAGCCATGACCTCCCAAATCTTCCAGTGAAGGAACTTTTCCTAAAGAGCCTGCCCAGCACACTTCCTTCTTCTGAAAGCTTGCCCACGTCACCCATGACTGCATGGTCCTTCGTGGTTTTTCAATAGAGTGATATTTGCAGTCTTGGTTATTCTGAGTATAAAAATCAAGGGTTCTCTTGGTCCTAGCAGATCCAGGATTTGCCCTGACGTGCTGATAGGAGGCCTCCGTTCAGGGACATGGACGTGTTTGAATTCTTCCCCTTGGAGCAGCATTTCCGTATTTCATTCTGTCTTCTAGGATAGTCATGCCTGAGCATTTACAGACATTTCTCTTATTGTAAACTATTTTCCTTTTATTTCATTGAAATGAGGCTTTTGTTGACTTTTAAAGCCCTATTGGGTAGGTAATGTTAATTATGAATTCCATTCCAGGATATTTATTGGGCAATACAGAGGGGAGTATTGGGTCTGTTGTGGTGGAGAACCACTTGCCTAGAGTAAAGGAATAATGACCTTTTAGTTGTTAATGTTCATATTGGTAGACTTAGAACATGACTAATAAAGCTTATACCAATATCTTAGAATCTCTGCATCAGACAGAACAGATGATGTTACATGTATTTGTTATTAAACTACTTCATATCTCACCCTAATATGTTACATATACTTCTTCCCTGTCAGGAAATTCATTGCAGTCTTTTCTTAGATCTCAAATTATACTTGGAAAGTTGTAATACCAAGATTAAGTATTTACCATAGTAAACATTTTTCTTTATGTTTAGATGTTATTTTCACGAAGCTGAAGCAATTTTAAGTTGTGAGATCACAAATTTTCTCATAAGCTTGTGAAATAGGTAAATGGCAAAATGGGGTTATACCTGTTTTAGAGAAGAAAAATGAGTCAAAAGTCATCCTATCCTAGCAGAATTAGGATCCTCCTCTCTTCAGAAGCCTGTGTTAATATCAGGGGACTGCTGGTGTTGCATATATAACAATGGAGCGAGGTGCTTTGGCACATAAATCTTATAAAAGTTAGCTTGCGTTTTGTCAAGATGTCAGGTTGTATGTCATAGATTTTGGTGAGCTCTGTTGAGTCTCCCCAGTCGGTAGGATGACTGATACTCTGCTGTTCAGAATTAGATCCTGCCTCTAGACAACAAATTTTTAGAAGAGACTGTGTTGTTCTCAAGGCCTGGCTTATGGCACACATTGTTCTCAGTGTGTTTTCCCATGACCAGCTTGGCTCACCTTCATCTCATGAGACTTCAGTGTAAAGTAGAATAAACATTTGCCAGGATCTAACCTCTGCTTTGATAATCATCTGACGGAAAAATATGAGATGCTCTTTAACCCAGGGAATAAACGTTTGTACAGTTAATTTATAGTGTTGCCATATTTTATCACATTTGGTCCTTATTCTGACTCTTCGCTATGGTTTTGACAGGTGTCATGAATATTTTCTACTGATGACCAAATACGACCATGGGTTACAAGTATAGCATTTTAGTTGAGCTGGAATCCTGGCTCTGGATTTCTCTTCATTGTAGGCCTCTAAAAATAAGATAGTTTTGTGGGGTTTCCCCCCCACCCCCAGTAGTTGGTGTGACAGTGTCAGAAGAGGATTAGGGAGGGGACCAGGTCACCTCCTAAGGTCCCCTCTATACATGGGTTTGATCATTTCATGTCACTCTGTAGTTGCAGTCTGATATCTGGTAGAACCTGATGTAAATATGATGGTCTCTTGAGCTATTACCCATAATAAATGTCAGTTAATACTAGTTTACAGGTTTCTTCTAGAACTTGTGCTGTGAACCAGTCATCAGCACTTTCTGGTGCTATTGCCCATCTCTTGTTTCTTGGGGAGTAGAAATGATCAGTTAAGGTGATTGACCTTGACGTTCTCTCCAACCTTATCCCTTAAGCAGCAGAGTGATTTCCAGTTTTTTCTTCCAACCTAGAGAGTATACTCTAAGCAGAACTGTGTGGGGCAGTATTCCACTGGTCAGGTTTTATTTCAAATGCCTTCTTTCCAAGCAGTTACCTAACTTTTCTGGTGAGCAAGAAATCTTGAAGTGTGACTTTTTGTGGCACCTAGTTGGTTCAGTTTTGGTGGAGCATGTGACTCTTGATCTCAGGTTGTAAGTTTGAGCCCCACTTTGGGCGTAGAGATTACTTAAAAATAAAATCTTAAAAATGAAATGACTTTTCTTTGGCACCAGTGAATGGAATCTAATACTTGACATCAGAGGAAACACAGTGTTTAGACTTTGTGCACAATCCGGTATTACTTACAAAATAGAATCTTGATTAGCTCATCCTGTGTGTCATAAAGATTGTCATAAAGCATTTTGAGGTTCTTGCGATGGCATTAGTCATTCAGTATAAATGAGTTCCCTGGTGTGGTATAAAGGGTTGCAAGAATTTTTTTAAAAAGTCACTAAATGTACTGATGGCTTGCAAAAGGTAGAGAGAGGAATTTCATACTTGGAAGACTCCCATAAATCAGGGCAAAATAAAAATTGCATCACTCAGGAGCAATGTACAAAAAGATGCTTAGCTAACCGAGTGTTCTTTTTTTTTTTTAATGTTTGTTTATTTTTGAGACAGCATGAGTTGGGGAAGGGGCAAAGAGAGAGGGAGGCACACAATCTGAAGCAGGCTTAAGCCTCCGAGCTGTCAGCACAGAGCTTGACGTGGGGCTTGCTTGAACTCCTGAACCGTGAGATCACAACTTGAGCCAAAGTCAGATGCTTAACAAACTGAGCTACCCAGGTGCCCCTAACCGAGTGTTTTTCCATTGGGAACATGAGTTCCCAGGTCCCTTGTCCTACATAGCAATATACATCGTTGACTAAAATTGAACAGTTCTGCGAGCTTGCCTGAAAGGCTCTAAACATGCCTGCAACAAATAGGTTATGAAGATTAATATTTTTTGAAGTCTCCCCAAGGACCCAGCCTTTCTCAGGAGATAGCATCTAAATCCCCAATGAGAAAAATGCTTTCTATGGAGAATTTTGTAATCTGTTGAGAACACTTTGCCTTTGAGTAAGATTGCCAGATTCATAATAAATATACACAATCCATGGTGAAATTCAAGTTTAACTGGGCATCCTGAATTTTCCTGTTGGGAACAGAGTACAGGTTGAACCTCAATTACAGGGGTTCATGACAGTTTCCGTTTCTATAAGGGCCATGGTCAGGATGTTGATTTTGTTAGCATCATCTATACTTGGTGGGCGGAGGACAAAGGAACTGGAAGACAATGAATGCTAACAAGAGTAAAATGTTTGTACTCTCCTCCTTCCTCTCCCTCTCCTCCCCCTATGTTTTCTCTTTGGACAGGGTTGGGGTGCAACGTCTCCATATTAATCTAGAATCTCTGTGGAGTGTATGTAAATTATTAGTTTATTTATGGAGATTTATTGTTACTGATGGGCACTCATTCAACTGGCATTTTTCATTATTTGAGGGGCTGTTTTGTTTTCTGAGAAACCCTCCAGGAATGTTCCAGGGGAGATTGATCTTTGATGTTATCCTTTGATCTATAAAGGGCACAGCATCTACTTTGCAATTACCTAATACGTACCATTCCAACTCCTTTCATCTGCCTGCAGCCAAACTAAAGAGTAATAAAGATTTCTCCTTGAATGATTCATTACCGCTGCTTAAAAAGTGTAGATTTTAAAAACAAAAAGGAAAACCATAGTATTTGTTTTGCATTGTAGTTCTCATTTATTATAACTGTGCTAGTTTTT